GGAACAGAAAACATCTGCAGTTTATAGGCTCAGCTCCTGCTCTGCACTTTATTTGCAGCAGGGAATTCAGAGCTAGTGACTTCCAGGACCCTGGATCTCCACCTGGATCTTCAGTGCATTGGTATGTTGGCTGGTACAAGTGCTGAGCACTCTCTTTGGAAGCTCAGGCCCCTAGAAAGCATCTCCAGCAACATGTATCACTCACCATCTAGGAAGACACCACTAACCCTGTCCCAAACAACTTCCCTGCACAACTTCCCACCAAGCCAAAGACGTGCAAGCACAGTTGTTAGACAACAATTGTTGTTGTCCTCCTTTAAATAAAGGGAGGGTGACCTGAAAAATGACTGTCAGGACACACAGAGGCCCAGGGAGTGGGACACAAGTCCTCACGAGGCTCATTTCAGCTTTTCAATGAGCTTCATGCTTTATTTAGTAGCAACAATGGCAGAAACAATGGGACAAGCAAGAACAAGGTGCCCTAAATCAGGCACACCACAGTCCCTGCTATCAACTGGCCCCTTCCCTAAGGGCTGCACAGATGGAAAAACCCTTTGGTTGCCACCAGCTGCAGGGCTGGTGTTCCTGGAGGAGCAGTGCTCTTCCTCCTCCCTTCCTCACCCTCTCCATCACTTCCCTGCCTTTCTCAGGGGTATATTTTGGCCTCCCAAGCACTTGTTCCATTAGGGGCCACGTTTGGTCTTTGCTTTGAACGTTTTTCTGCCCACAAAAACACAACAACAAAAAGAAGAGTGATGTGTTTAAGAGGCCATGACACCAAAAGCTTCAACAGCATTCCCCTGCCCAGTCCAGGCCCCTAGGATAGGTCAAAGAGCAGCACCCTTGCCTCCCCTCTGTGCTTTTCTGCATGCCTTACCTGTCCTTAATGGCCCTGGAGAAAGGACAAGGTGAAGAGGAGAAGCAGAAGAAAGAAAATAAAGCATGTTAATGCAGAGACAGACACAAACAGATAAACATCACCACTGTGGCTTGGGAACCTGAGCCCAGGGACAGGCACTGAGTGAAAAGAGGTATTGCTAAGTCTCTTAAAGGAATCATGTTTCTCCTGGTGGGGTTGCTTAGTGGAGCCTCTTTGGAGCAGGCTTGGCCAGGGATGGGATGGAAAAGCTTCCTTGTTTTTCCCCCTCTTCAGCTGAAGCTGTAAAAATAAGATGGCTTTAGTTTTACAAACTCTTCCTCCTATTTCAGAGCCTCTGCCCCATCCTGCAAACCCCTGGGTGGAGGGGGAGGGAGGTTAAAAAACCCAAGCAAACCACCAAACCCCACCACATATGCTGTAATTCTAACTCCTGGGACACTGTAGCTGGAGTTTCAAAGCAGCCAAGGGCTGGGTGGGCAAACACTGGCCATGGGACAGCTCAAGCACCAGACAGCAACCTTGTAAATCCAGGTTTGGCACTAAGCTGGGGGCTTGTGCAAATCTTGCCTCCTCCCTGTGCCTCGTGGGCTTTAAGCTCCTAAAGCAATTAAAACACCCACCCATGTGTCAGCCTCACTACAGCCAACACTAACAGCCACCAAACTCATCCAGAGCCCTTGGGCAAGGGCCTCACTCTGTCTGGGGGCTGAGATCTTGTGCTCTGCTCTTCCCAAAGGTACAGACTAAGGACAAAAAGCCTTTTTAGACCCACAGCCTTAAGAATCTGCTGAAATTCCTCTCAACACACTCCCTTCTCTCCCAGCAACACCAATCTACCCCAGGAGTGCTGCTAAATCTAAAGCCACCAGTCTGTTTTAGGCTTGGTTCTACTCTTCAGTGCCTCCCCTCTATAGTATCCCACACTTCTACCACACCTTCCTTACAGTTCCACAGCAAGGAAAACAATCCCACCCCTTCTCCAACAAGGCTAAAACCCCTTCACTTTGAAACTAGAATACCTTGGATAAGCAGCAATGTGTCCAAAGAACCACCAGCCATCCTCTCTCAGCCCCATGTTCTCCCAGCTCTTGCTTCTCCTGACTCTGATGAGTCTCTCCTGTGAATTTTTAGGACATTTAATTAACTCAACTGCCTCTCACTGTGCCCCTTAAACCTGGGTGAGATCAAGGAGCTTAATTCCCAGCTTGTTGGAAGTAAACAGGGTCCCAGTGGTGCTTTTCCAGCATACTCAGCCCCTTGAAGCTCACTGTGGTCCCACCAGGGTGGGAGACTGTGGTCATGGAAGAGCTGAGTCAAGGTTTAAAGAAGCTCAGCCCATTTCCCTCAACTCTTTCAGCTGGCATCACCACACAATGCAGGCAGGAAACCTGCACAAAGAAACACCAACCCAAGAAGATTTCAGAGGCAGCTGGGTTTAGTTTGGAAGGTCAGTGTTCACCTCACTCTGAAGCACTTTGACACCCATCTTATCAAGCAGTTTACCACCACAGGAGGAGATTGTGTGTTGGGTTCATCTTTATTCTGCCTTTCCTGAACCAAGTCACTAGAAAAAAGCAGAATACTGGTAGGATGCTGGAGCAGAAACCACTGCAGAGGAACCATTGGGACAGGGGAAGATTCCTGCCCCTTTTCCTCATCATCTTCTCACCATCCTTCACCATCTCATCTTCCATCACATTCCAAACACTCCTCCTTCACATTTTCTTCGTTCCCCAGCGTGGTGCTTTCAAAACTGAGTGCAGAAACCCTAAACCAGGTACATGAAAGCACAAAGAGCAACCTGGCTCTGTTATCCCAAGGCTGTACCTGTCCCTGCTGCATTCACCAAGCTGCAGGTCACTCTACCAAAATCTTCTGCAGCTCTGGGAGGCATAAAACACCCACTCCACTGGGCACAGCCATAGCTGGTCCTTCCTACAAGGCAAGAAAGCAACATCAGAATCCTGCACTTCATTCAACCAGCATCTATTCCTCTGAAAAAATGTTTAGATCCCCTTGGGAAAGGCCAGAATAGTGATTTTTTTCCATGACTATCCATTACTAAATAAAAATAAACTCCCAATTCTATGAAGGAATCCATTTTAAAGTTATACATTAAGATGATTTTATTCTTCCATCCTCTCACAGGTTAAAAGCTTCACTTAAATGCTGCAACACCTAAAAGAAAGTTCTATTTCTCTATTTTAGGTCTGAAACATTCCTCCTTCAACTTCTAAATGTTTTTATGATTTTCTGAAGTTTTTTATTGACATTTTTGAGTTGGTTTGGTTGAGTTTTTTTTTCTCTTGGCTGTTTTCCTTGCTTGCTGCATTAGACACTATCTCTTCTGCTAAGAGATGCTTGGCAGCTGCCTGGATTTTGCCAAGTCACACACAGATACTTCCTCTCCACTTTGCCCCCAGCATCAGCCCCTGTCCAAAGGGAGCTGCTTTATCTCAGCATGCAATTAAGAGGCTCTGGGCTCTAGTTTTAGGCCTCTCAGGAACAGGAAGTACAGGCTCTGAACAATTGGCAGCTCCAGTTTTCTCATCATCCTTATCACCCTATGAGTGCAACAAGTTTGTAGCACCCTCCCAGCTATCAGAAGTGAGAGGTTTTATCTCAACCTGCACTCAGATGGTGCTCAAAAAACAGCAAGAAGCAAACCAGGCTCTCAGCTGAAGTGCTTAGATGTGTCAGGTACAAAAAAAACCCCTTCACGACAGGAAGATGCTGTTTGGGATTTCTGAAGCTTCAGCTAAAAGGTTTTGTTCCAAAATTCCACCACACATCCCATGAATCCTTAGGGCTGCCAACACAGCCATCTACCAGACCCTGCAGGGAAGCAGTAAGAAGTTTAGCACCCAAATTTAGCTGCAGTTCAGCAGATGGAGCTTAAATTTCTTATACAAAAGACAAAAAGCAAGGATATGGAAAGGAAACAATTATATTTGGCAGTGCTGGGTTAACAGTTGGACTTGATGATCTTCAAGTTTTCTTCCAACCCAAATGATTCTATAAAACAGTTTCAAGTATGTTGATTTTTAGATGAATAAACTGCACCTTAAGCATGACAAAAATGGTATCAACGTGGCTCCTTCTCCAGTGCATCCAGTTTTCCAGCATGTTCATGCCTACTAGAAGAGAAAGTTTTCCCAGCTGGATACAAACAGGGAGAAGAGAAGTGATTGCTGTGCAACAAAACACCCACACACCAAAAATTCATAGAAATCCCACTTTTAATCATGGACAAATTTACTTTCAAGTAAAATCAACAGTTTTAAATAAAATATAAATTAACAAACCCAGAGTACTCATCAACAAAAATAAAAAGACACTGTGTGCAGGTCTACTCTAGCTGAAACAAAAGCTGAGGCCTATTCCAGTTCTCTTCACCTCACTGGAGTTTCAAGAGAGCTCTGAATGATTATGAAAGGAAAATAAAGGATTTAAAAGCAGTGACTTCAGCCACTATGAGGATCTAGCTTCCAAGACACAGGGGGAAACTGTCACAAGTAAAACAAAACTGATTTTAAGCAGTTTTGTGGAAGCACAGCATTGGGTGCAATAGATTTTTCTTCTCCATCACAGTATTTATTCCAGAATACCCCATCAGGGAAACTGTCCTAAAAAGGTGTTTTCTTACTGCTTTTGGAAACCCTGCACTTCCATTTCTTTGACTGAGGAGGCTCAGAGTTAAGAAGGGAGAGCAATCCTGGAATCTGGAAAAGAAAATAAACAGAGTCCTCATTCATCCCAGCTGACAGGATTTCACAACCTCACCCAAGGCATCACCCACACTCACTCTCTTCCCACACGCAGCTTAACCTGCTGCTGCTCATTTACTGACAACGAGCCTTTGCTCGGCCCATTACACACAAAAGTGCAATATTTAAAAAAAAAAAAATAGTCATTTTTTGGCAGGTATTGTCTAATGAGACTCAGCCAAGTTGCCCCCACTTTGCTGGATCCCACACTCGGGCTGAGCTGTGACCCGCTCGGGGCAATCTGCTTCTTCAATGGTTTAAAGAGACTTAAAAACAACAAAAGGAGGAACCCTGAGGCAAAAAAATGGCTTTTTGTGTAGCAAGTCCACTTAAAGGCTTTCCACCAGAGCATCTCATAAGGGTCCTGGGATCTTCTGTGGTGGGAGGCCTTCCTCAATCCACAGGGGAGGAGCCGAGGCGCTGCGCGGCAGGCGCCGGTGGATGCGCCTGAGGCGCAGGAGGTACAGCAGGATGGAGAGCAGCACGACCAGAAAGCAGACAAAAAACAAGTAGTGATTGTAAACGAAGGAGAAGCTCCTCCAGTGGGAGTGACTTCCACGGAAGTTTTCTTGCTGGATGTCTCTGAAAAAGAAGCAGAGGGATAAGGGATGTGAGTCGCATGTCAAGGGTTGACTGCGAACGAGAGAATCGTAGAACGAGGATCAAAACGGGCTGGGAGAGACCTCTGAGGTCCTGGAGTCCAACCACCCCCCAGCAGGGCCAGGGAGCACCCACCCTGTCCCTCACCCCACATCTCCACGGCTTGGGAACCCCTCCAGGGGTGGGGACTCCAACACTGCCCTGCGCAACCTTGCACACCACTTGGTCG